CTGCTTCGAGAAATTATGCGATTGATAATTCCCCCTTTTCGAGATTTTCAAGACTCGAAATGGCTGACATTTGTAGAGCTGCTTCGAGAAATTATGTGGTTGATATAAATGTTAATTTTTAGGGATTTTTGAGTTTCTCGTCTCTTAATTGAAGTGTGATTTCTGAAACAGGATCGAACGCATCTTTCCAGTAGTTCGTCCAACGTTCGTTGAAACGAAGCTGGCTCGAAAATGAATCGGACAGCGCAAACGGTAATTGTATCACGAGTACGCAGCACGAGGCTTTAAGATCAACTGTCTTTACTTTAATGGGTTACGTGTTCAGCTTACATTATCTTAGTTTGGATCTTAGTTTGTTTATGAACTCCGTGAGATACCGTGGAAAGCGACGCCGCGAAGACGACTTCCCTCGTGTAACTCGAACGGAATACTTTGCTCTCGGTCTGCGATAAAGACGATGAACAAATAAATTTACTTACTGCGTTCTTGGAAGCATTTTGGTTTAACAACATGAAAATCAGGAGCATCGCTAAATACTGGTAAGCAAGATATAAATTTCTACTCAGTGTAGTGTGAGGGGTGGGAAATTTAAATCTTCTGAAGAGTTCAGAATGCATTTAATGTAGAAAAGTGTATGAAAAACTTATAGTGAGATATGGATTGTTATATTTGGGGGTTGGAACAACCCTTTACAAAGCTTCCATTTCTATTAATACAAAATCTGGGTGACGTGATGATTAATCTATAATAAATACTACAAAATGCATTTAATGTAGAAAAGTATAAGAATTGTTTATAGTAAGATACGAATTATTATATTTAGGGGTTGGAATAACCCTCTACAAAGCTTCTATTGCTATTAATAGAAATCTGGGTGACCGGATAATTAATCTAAAAGCTACAGAATGCATTTAATGTACAAAAGTATAAGAAATTATTATATTTAGGGGTTGTCACTATCCCTCTACAAAGCTTCCATTTCTATTAATACCTATTAAGGCCTATTAATAATCAATATATTAAGAGGAACCATTATTTTAAAGGCCAAAAATAAGATTAACATCTGGAACTTACGAAACTATTTATTTCTAATAAAAGTCATTCCTCCAGTTTTCTTGTTTTGTCATCTGCAATATAATGGCTAGATGTACATACATCTATGGGCAACTTTAATTCTCGAAAAGCTACAGAATGCACTTAATATGCAAAATTAATATTTCAGGGATCAACCCTCTACGAAGTTCCCACTCCATCAATTCTATCAATAAAAATGTAAATTTGCATAAAGATCCCCAATCTACCCCTCACTGTACAAAGTAGACATGATAATAAAAATAAGATTACAAAGGTAATTTTAATCAGGTAAACAACGTAAGGAGAAAATGTTAAATAATGCAATAGTGCCCCAAAAAATGTAAAAAAGTCCAAGGTGGTGCAATAGAACCTATCGACATCAGGAGAGAATTATGAGAATCTAAATGTCCTTAAGGGAGCATAAAAATCGATTAACTCCAACAATTGGTACTGAATATTGTAAAATAGTTTTATACTGATAGTTCGTAGATGGTACTATTCATTAAATCAGGCCTAAAAGAAGGCACCTCTCGTGCTCGCCGTCAGAGGGCCACCGCTCTCGTCTCTCTCGCAAGCGCTCGACTGGCAGCTCCTCGAGCGACCACTGAACGTCCCAGCGTCTAAGACAAAGCCTGTTAGGACCCACTATTGTCCACTCACTTAACAATAAATAACGTTATAGAGAGTTAATTCAAAATTCGTTTCCATAGAAGGCAAAGGAAAGTGTTCAGGAGTCCAGGAATAAATGACACGATGGGATAAAATGATTCTGATGGGAAGGATGTATCGTCGATTGATGGTAGGAGGAAACGATCGCCGTCGAACAGGAAGATAGTACATGATAGTAAAAATAAGATTACAAAGGTAATTTTAATCAGGTAAACAACGTAAGGAGAAAATGTTATAAGTTTTTGAACGATGCAATAGTGCCCCAAAAAATGTAAAAAGAGTTCAACGTGGTACAATAGGACCTATCGACATCAGGGGAGAATTATGAGAATCTAAATGTCCTTATAGGAAGCATAAAAATCGATTAACTCCAACAATTTTTACTGAATATTGTAAAATAATTTTATACTGATCGTTCGTAGATGGTACTATTCATTAAATCAGGCCTAAAAGAAGGCACCTCTCGTGCTTGCCGCCAGAGGGCCACCGCTCTCGTCTCTCTCGCAAGCGCTCGATTGACAGCTCCTCGAGCGACCACTGAACGTCCCAGCGTCTAAGACAAGGCCTATTAAGATCGTACCCACTATTGCCCACTCGCTTAACAATAAATAACGCTGGATTAACTCAAAATTCGTTTCCAGAGAAGAGAAAGGAATGTGTTCAGGAGTCCAGGAATAAATGACACGATGGGGTAAAATGATTCTGATGGGAAGGATGTATCGTCGATTGATGGTAGGAGGAAACGATCGCCGTCGAACAGGAAGATAGTACACACGTACAGTGAAGCTTAGGAGATTGACAATGGAGAGAGAGCGAGATCCGTGGGTATAGGCCGAGAAAGTTTTCCAATTTGAGGCAATTAGTTTGCCGTACGGTGCTCTGGGATGGCATGCATCCAGATAATCGAATATGGGTCACCGTCCGAGGTGGAATGGGTCGCGCTTTGGTCAGACCCGAGAGTCGAACGCGTGGGACGAGGGTCAACTAGAAACCGGTTCGGAGCAATAATTGTTCTGGAAAGGGAAGAGGGGAGGGATCCTCCGAACTATTCGATACGCTTAGAGCATTAAAACGGGTTCCTGGGATGGAACGCGGCCGTGGGGAAATTTGCATATAGAAAAACGACCGTCGGTGAACTCGATACTACCGGCGGCTTCAATCGACCGCCGCGAGATAGAAAAAGTAATGAATATTGAAGCAGAAGTGGTAATGCGGAAGATAAAGTGTCCGTTGAAATGAGAATTCGATTTTGAGAGCGTACCGGTCCGAACGCTTCGAAACGGAACTCCGTTCGATGAGTTTTAAGCGGTTCGGAATATAGGGGAATTTCTTCTTTTTTTCCTCCCCCCCAACCGTCGGACGTTCGAGGGAAACTTCGCGACGAAAATTTCGCTCGACGGAATGTTCTCCGACTTTCTCCGCCCGGAAATAGTTACTTCGGGCCCGGAAACGCGAGAAATTGTTTCGCAAAAAAGCCTGGCGCGCGTTATAAATAGTTTCGTCTTTGATATCTGCTCGAATTTATGCACACTTAAAATTGTAACTAGGATATGGATGGAAGAGAAAACCTTGTAACGGAGATCTCCAAGAATATTTCCACTCTAGTAACGTGTGAAATATGTGAAATATGAATTCTCATCGAAAGGTGCATCCGAAAGGGTGTGTTTTAACTCTGTGTTCAGCTACCTCTTTCATATTACAATGAAAATAAATCAGAAATATTTTCCATCGTCTTCCAAGTGGCGCTGACTGTATTTTTTTAACGATTCAAGGAATCAAACCCTCTTTCATCCGAGTCCGCCGTACGGCCTGGAAAATTCCAACCGCGAATCACTTGACGGAAATCGATTGATCGATCGCCGGGGTACCGGGAACTTGGTACTGATCGATGTTCGTCCGTCCGCGCCGGCGGTGATGGAGCTTTAAAGTTTCGCCGTGGAAGTTTTCACGAAGATATGCAGGCCAAGGAACTGGCAAATTGCTAATATAACATGCACGGCTTTACCGAGAAAAATGTTTCCGTTTCGCTCGTGCAACAGAAATACCGGGGGAAATCGTCCGGCGTCACGCGTAAACGGCAGAAATCGTTTCGTCGTCGACGTACGCCGGGGCTCCTCGCGGCGAATTTATTCGCGCGCCGTTCCGTTTCGTTCCACGTCGCTTTAACGAGGCAAAAACTGCCGCAAATTTTTCTGATATTGTGTCGTCGAACGATTACAGGCGTACCGTGCTTTATTCGCGGGGCCGTGAAACATTATTACGGTTCCTGCGACGCGGTTATTCGTCGCTTTAACGAGATCACGTTCTGTCTGTCTTCGACCAGAGATGGTCGACACCTCATTAATAACACATGCTTTCAAGATTCTTGATATGGACAAATTATATTCTTTCTGTGGCAAATTTTTCTGTTTTTATATGTAGACTCGTGAATTTTTTGGCTTGTAATCTGTTGTCAGTGGGTGACACGACTTTTCATCAGGGAGTTAAAAAAATTCTCAAGATTAATTGCAAAAGAAAATGAAGCTGGGGCCCTTGAGTTTTAACGAGTCTGTGAAAATAAATTCCATGACGAGTTCTTGGTATGCTAGTTTCCAATTGTCTAAAAACAAAATTTAATTTTTCTTTTAATTCGAGGGGTTTGGTCTGTGGCAGTCAACGTGTTAAAAAGACAGAAACCATGGTGTATGCTGTGGCGTTGCTTCCCATGCTCGCCGCCAGAGGGCTCGCGCTCTCACAAGCGCTCGAACGACTTCCCAATATCTGCACCACATGCATGATGCATGTGAACGAGGTTTTTGAAACCTTTCAACACATCCTCATAAACAATTACAGACACTAACAAACATTTTAAGTACAGATTATAGGGGCTCCAGCCCAGGGTACTTCAGAAGAAATATGAAAACGAGATAAAAAAACAAAAACCTTCCCAATATCTCAGTCGTCTAAGATAGGGCCTGCTAGAAAGCTTTTCCTTTCCTTTTCTGTCCTCCAAAAATTTCCCGAGTTCCTAACCTCAACAAAGCACAACGCCACCGTGCAACCAGAACCGGGAAAATTTCATTTGAAATAGAAATAAGAAGCAACTATTTGAAATAATTTATTTTAGACCCTTATTTTCATTAGCTTTATGAGTGGCCAGGTCTGTAACAAGTGTCATCCAACAGGCGTAAAACAATAATTCTTAACATTTCGAATGATCTAATAGATTTATCGGTGATATAAACATTCGAGTAACGGTTCGTTTCGTTGTTTTGCAGAATCCGAGGCCAGCTGGGAAGAATGGTGGACCTACGACGGAATTTCAGGTGAGTCTCGTTGATCCGTACGGTTCTCCAGACGTTTTCTGGACTAGTCCTTTACGGTTTCGTCGTAAAGGAGTTTTCAACGATTCCGCGAGTCGTACGGAGTAATCGGTCGTGTAATCGACACCGACACGAACCACTCCAGAAAGAGAAACTAATCGCGAAGAGTTAATTTCCATTAATATTCGAGGATCCCGTCGATCGATCGCGTTAAGTTCGTCGAGGAACGCCTGGGCGTCTTTCGTAGACGGGAACCTTTGCAGGAATAATGAGATATCGGACAGATTCCGTTGGAAGTAACTCTTTTCCGCGTTCCGGGTTAATATTGGAAAAGTTTCTGTGCCATTCCAGGATCCCGGTAATGTGTCACACCCCGACTACGGGTTAGAAACGCGTTTATTCGAGAAACAAGTTCATGGAAACGCAGATGATTCTTGGCGGGGGGAACTCTTTCAACTTCTCTCGCTTTAATTCGTTGGACTTTTCCACTGGAACAAGTGAACTGCTATTGTTTCTGTTATGCAAAACTTTTTGTTATTTGAGGATTTGAGTATAGCTCGATCGGATCATCTTCTGATTCGATCTTCTCATCAAGGAGGCTGCACTTCTATTAAACTTAATTTTATCGACAGTGTCTTTGTCTGCTCGTCAATCGTCAATTCGTAAATGGAAAATTCATAGTATCTTTTGTACGATAGTGTTAGTAAATATATCGATAATCGATGTTCCAAGTAAGACGTATTCACGCGATGTTTCTTTTTGCATATTAATGGGAGATTGTATATGCCAAAATAAGACGAATATCAAGTATATCAATTTTTCGTTTGAGGCTTTGTTAAAAAGTAATTAACAATTAAAATCAAAAATTTCAAATCGTCCTGGAAAAATTATTTTCTGCTGCAGGGGTCAATTATAATCATTTTTGGTCATTACACATACCCACGAAATCCTACGCACTTTCCAGAAAAAAATTCCTCTAAATGTAATGTCTGACCAATGGTTGACCAGTTCCCCTGAAATTTCATGAGAATGTTTAAAAAATCATAACTCCTGAACGGATTGGAGGATTTTAATGTCTCAAACGGCAAACAACGCGTATTTTGGTGAAGAATATGTAGAAATTCTAAAAATGTTCGAAAAGTTGTTCCTTAACCCCGTAAAGTGACAAAAACCCCCATAAAAATGGTCCAATTTTCAAACACCCATAACTTCTACAATAGTGCATATATTTCAATGAAACTTTTTTCTGAAGTAGAGCTCATGGGTACCTATCAAAAAGTATTAGACAACTTTTCGGTAGTGCGTCAAACAAAATTACTAAAAATCAAAAACGAATTTCTTAGACAAATCGACAGGGCCTAATTTTTCGACGAAAAAAAAGTTTTCAAATCGTTCTGAAAAAATTATTTCCGGTTGCGGGGGTCAATTACAATCATTTTTGGTGAATAGACATACCCTCGAAATCCTACCCCCTTTCTAGAAAAAAATTCGAGAAGGTGTGAAATTTCTCGACGGGAAAAAAAAATTTCAAATCGTTCTAGAAAAATTATTTTTGGTTGCAGGGGTTAATTATAATAATTTTTGGTGAATAGACATACCCCCGAATTCCTGCGCATTTTGGAGAAAAAAAATTCAGTAGGGGTGAAACTTTAAATATTAATAACTTTTTAACGAAGCTTCCATCAACAAATTGGTATTCTTGATTTTCGTCTTATTTTGGCCTCTAAAATCCACCATTAAATTTTTCCCAGGGGTGGCCGAGCACCCTGTATATTAATAAACTGTGTGTACTAAAGTGCAAGTATAATTCATTTATATCTTGTAAAAATAACAATCTGAGAAATAGTTACGCACACGTGAACCGTAAAATTTATTTTTTTCCTCAAAGAAAAACCAATTAAAGCAGTTTACGTAAAATTCGTTCGCTGGAAATTACGAATTTACAACAATTCTGAAAATCTAACGTACAGAAGGACCGATTTCGTGTTTAAAAAAAATGGAGCACGGTGCAGGAGCGCTATTATTTTGTAGCGTTAATAAATTACGTAATGCTTTACGTAACTTCTGTAGCCGCGTCGAACCGTTTCGTTGAACGTCGAGGTATAAATCGCGAGGGACAGAAGCGTTGATCAGTTTCCATCATGGCGCGTCGGGGGCGCGGGAGGCTCCTAATTTTCTTAATTTTAAGTTACGAGGCCATCGAGTGGCTCGTGGCGCCGGCACGAATTTTTTAATCTCGCCGCCCTCCGTGCCGGTGGGTCGCAGTTTTTATTAAAAATAAGGCGAGCGCCGATAGGGTCGTGCGAGCCTCGAGAGCCTCGAGTTTAGTGTTGTTCCGCCATGCGAGCCAGCTGCCACAAGAGAAACAGTCCCGTATACACGGTTAAAGCTCTGGAAGCGCGAAATTTCACCCTACGAATTTCTTTTCATCGCGCGAGCCTCGTGTCATGTTCGAAAACCCATAAATTCTTCCGCTTTATTTGGTAAACGAAAATCATAAAATCTTGAAAATCCTTTCAACGCGTTGACGTTGCATTCGTTCAAATTTTAGTCCCAAAAGCAGAAAGATTCGATAATTAATTGGTGCGCCTGCCATTTTATAGCATTCTTAAAATACAAATATTATTGAAAAATTTCACTTATCGAAAGTGGTTGTTAATATTTAACACGATCGATGGAGACTAATACGCCACGCATTCCCCAATATTTCTGTCAATATCACAAGCCCTCCAGTGCTGAAAATAACGGAGAATAATGGGATAATTAAAGCAGGTATTTTTAAACGTATTTTCGGTACAGTCCGGAGATATTTAAAGAGTGAAAGGAAAAAGTTTGCGTTGTTTTTTTTTATATATATATATATATATATATAAATCAACAACTGAAATAAAACGCTGCGGGGAAGTGGTTAAATCGAGCACTCAGGGTGTGCGAGAGTCAGCAATAAAAACAATTTAGTCCGCTTTTGCTTTCATAGCTTCGGTGTACGATTTAACTTTACTTTTTCATTTTCATTAAACGACTTTATTCCTGCCCGTAATGAGATAAAAAAAAAAAAAAGGCGGGTTCCATCGCGTGGAAATATGATATTTAGTGGAGAGGAGCGAAATGAAAGGGCCGTGGCTCGGTAAATTGATAATTTATAATCTCACCTTGGTTGCTTAATACGTGGAAATTAGAACCAAACGTGAGGGTTAAAGAAAGATGACGCTTGAAACGAAAACTGAAAACTGTGAAGGTTTATTAACACTAGATTTACCGACATTGATACCTTTCATGTTGACGATTACCTTAGAATACGATTTTTCTTTCAATTAGAATATGTGTTCGTGCCAGTGCATCGATCAAATTCAACATAAGTTGTTAAAAAATAATATTTACGCGTTCTGCAATTTTAAATTCCGTAAATCTAACGTTAAATGAGAGAACGCAGAATGAAATCTCGGTTTAAATTGAAAATGTATAGTACGATGTTGATGGTTCAGGATTTATCCTTTACTCTGGCTTGGCCACGGTGACACGAGATGATAAGACGACATACGTTATTATTTTGTCTGGTCACTTTAAATTAGAACACGTCTCTAGAGCCACAAAACAACAGAGTTCGGTGGCAGATTAAGGTTACCTGGATTAACTGGCTGGCAAGTGGGTGATGTAATCTACGATTGTTGTCTTTACTGTCTTGTATAATACTAAATATACTGGATACCTCTAGTTTCACTTAATTCAAATCGTGTGTAACACATCCTCTGTCTGAAACTCAGATCGCAGATTCAAATAAACGAGCTATTTACATCGGTATTTTATATTTCTTCAAAATTTAGTCTTCATCATTTTTATGTAAAAAAAAAAATAGAGAATAATAAAATTCAATATTCCAAGAATCCTCAGACTTACTCACGATCAGGAAGATCGACGAAATTTCGTGCAATACATTCCTCTGTCATCTTGTCACAGTTCAGTCACGGCTCTAGTGACACCTTGACAGGAAACTGAAAACCGTGAAGGTTTATTAACACTAGATTTACGGGCATTGATCTTACGTATATTTATTGATACCTTTCATGTTGACGATTACCTTAGAATACGATTTTTCTTTCAATTAGAATATTAATTTATTAATTTAATTTTATTAATTTTTTTCTATATTTTCAAGAGTTCGATATCGAATTGTGTTTTCGTGCAGTAAGAAATTCATAAATTTCGTAATTTCTGGATTCCACGTCGACCATGGGCGACTGAGTTATTACAGATATCGGTGGGGGGTTGGGGGGGGAGGGTCAGGGGTGGATTTTTAGGGCACACCCGAAGTCTCATATTAAGGACAGATGGCTCGGCCGTTTTACAACCAATAACTGACTCCCTACGCGAAGATATATCTGTACCATCGCCCCCCCCGTCTATCTATACCTATACTGCATATCCTTGATTTCAGCTCGGGGCTGGCTCGAGAAAAATATCGCTTTAGAGTTCGCCGCCGTTCGTATATACACGATACAATGTATAAACGCGAACACGGGTAGGGAAGATATGAAGCGGAGCCACGGCATTCGAGGCTGGAACATAATTTGTTGCCGAGTCAATATTGTCGGGGGTAAATAAGACGAGGGAAGAATGGATGTTGATGTAGACGAGACGAACGTGACTGATGTTACTAGAGAAAACGAATGAAATTAATGTTTCAGACCTAATCTGACGGGAATTAATGTCTCGCCTTTCTCCATTGTGTTTTTAAAGCTTGTCGAACGGAGTCCCGAAACTAATAAATTACACGCGCCTGGAAATTATTACGTGCTCCGGAAGTCGAAGTTGTCATCGAAGTTTCGCGAGCAATCGAGTATTTATTTATTTTTTACCGTTAATGTATTTTTGTTAATCAAATTTTTCCTTGATATGTTTACTATTTGGAATATTTTGTATTAAATTATTACGTGCTCAGGAAGTCAAAGTTTTTATCGAAGTTTCGCGAGCAATCGAGTATTTATTTATTTTTTACCGTCAAT